TAATCCCAGCACTTTGGGAGGCTGAGGCAGAAGATCGCTTGAGACCAGCCTGAACAACATAGCAAGACCCCATCTAAAGAAAGAAAGAGTCTGGGGACTAATAAAAGCCCAAGAGGAAATATGCCAAATAATAGACATAGTTGTCTTTGGTGCGGGGATCATGGGTAGGGTTTTTGTATAAGAAACAAAGTAAGTTTGCGGTAGGGAAGAAAGGTACATTGAGACTCACTCTTGTGAAATTTTTTTATAATTAGAAGGCAGATGCACCTTAAACCAAGGCAAGGAGTGTTTGTCTTGCCTTCTTAATTACTGTCTCCCCCCAGTTTACAGACTGGGTGCTGGAGTCATCCTTGATTTGGGACCCTCTTTGACTCTTGCCAACAATACCTCATGTTAGCAAAAGTGCTGGTTAGTACAATCCTTTGGGAGAATAATTTGTAGTATAACTTTTGACTCAAACCCACTTACGAGAGTCTAGACAAAGAAAATGATCCAAAATGTGGCAAGAGCAGTGTGTGCAGCTGTGTTTTGCTGCAAGTATCAATATGCATCTAAAAATAGTCTAGCCAAATTGGAGTTTATCTCACATAAGCCTGGAGGTGGCCAGTTGACGGCCTGGGTTCGACTGCTCAATGATGCCGTCGGGATCTTGGGCTCCTGTTCTGCTTTGTCATTCTTAGCGTGCAGAAGCCAGACTCTAAATTAGAATGCTGACTCCGACACGCCTACATGACCGCATGCAAGTCACTTCACATTTCTGTGCCTCAGTGTCTTCCTCTGTGAAATGGGGATAATGATGGTACCTTGCCTTCACAGAGATCCTCTTCTGTGTTTAAGGTGGCAAGAAGGGGCAAAAGTGGCATTGCCCTTTTCCTAGAAAAGCAAAACCTTTCTCAGAATGCCTCACCAGCCTTCCCATAGATTTCATGATCCAAAACTGGGTTACACAGTCACTCCACCAACAAGGGGAGCCAAGAAAGCAGGAAAGGGATGATTGTTGGCTTCTCGGCTGAGATGCACCCTAACCAACCACCCCGGCGGCACTGGGCGTGTGTCGGCAGGCAGAGGGGGAAATGGAGTTTGGAGAGACAACTAGCGATGTCTGCCACAGCTGTCTATGGGGAAATACCCACTGCAACATAATTTACAATGGCAAGAATGGGTGTAAGAAAATGTCTAAAGGACAGGAATACTTACGCAACTTGGGATATAGTTAGTGGGGCGAATAATCACCCATTATACCATTGCTTTGATTAAATTTATTTTAAAGATTAATGTGAAAAGATGTTATGCTATTACTTTCAAAAGCAGAGTACAAAATGATTTAAAGGAATTTTAAAACATTTTTAATGTCTGAAATTGGGATATAGAAAAAGATTTTTGCAGCCAGGCAGCAGTCTTGTTGTAGTTGTCGTTGCCTGCACATTCGTGCACTTCTATCCATAAAGAAAACCACAGGTGCCGTTAAGTGT